TCTTAAAGAGAGCGTTCAACGCACCTCAGTCCTACCGAACTTTTTAGTAGCTGTCAATTCAAGGTGGTCGGATTGAAGATCAGAAGCTGTTCATCCAATAATTTTAAGATCTAGTTCACGCATCAACCCATGTCAAAATAACCTTTGATGGTACAAATTATTTGCATTTATTAATGCAATATTGAGGTATGAGATTTTGTGAATTTCTTTGTTAAATTTTTACCAAAGAAATTACTATTACTTATATGATTAATTTGGTCTAGAACCAACAATTTTAAGACGATAAACCTCTTCACATAAGATAAGGTTATCGTTGCATGTTTTGCTTCTAAATAATCAAATCATAAAACTAACATAATCCCGACGATTAGAATCTTACATGCTGTATAACATAATCGGGGCAAACTTTAATAAACAAGATATTTCATGTGAATGGTCATAATTATAGACTGAGACTAGAAAGGATAATATCCATTGATTTTATGTGCTTTGGAATCTGGTATCAATATTGTGTATGCGCCTATAAATAATTCGCAATATATGCCCATTCTACTTGCTCCTATTAAAAAAAAAACTTTATATTCAAAGTTTTTGAACTGGTTTTGAAATTGCTAAGTAATTTTAGATGTGTCTTGTTTATCTATGCACATGAAATCTAATGATGAAGTTTTAAGAATAAGTAATTGACTAAAGAATGCAATGCATTTTATAATTGCCCAATTGCATTCAAATTTAAAAATTTATTACTTTAATGTGCACGATCTCATAGTTTTGAAGTATGCCTTAAAGACTTGTATATGAGTATTTTCTCGGTTTCAGTTTTCAATGTGATTGCAAAAAAAAAAAAATATTGTTGTACAAAAGTACAAGTCTTATGACATTATAGTTCAAACAATTGTAAACCAGTAGGCTATCAACTTGAATTCAACTGCAGTCGAGATACACTAAATACAATGCATGAATAACTTGGAGTCAAGTTCAATTTTCAAGTTTATAGACAGCCTCATTTTAAACAATGATAATCTCAAAATATATGAATGACTTTGCAACTATTTAGTTGTTGAATGTGTCTGATTTAAAAAAAAAAGGGTCAAGTTTCTTGTTGATGTTAATGTGTGATTTGTACCCAATCAGATGGCTCTTATGCTTATGTACTACTTTGAGTGTATATCATTTTGAGTACCTAGAACACTATTTCTGCACTATCTTAACATATGAACTCCATGAGTAGTCTTGAATGAATAATTGTTAGAAATAATGGGGATATGTAATTACATGATAATATTGCATTCTTCAATTGAGTGCATGACTATGACATGTTGAAGAATAGCTTGTGTAATTTGAAATACTATGTAGATAAATATCTAAATAGTATCTGCAGAATTGAATGAATCATTTGTTAATGTTTTACTACTACGTGTTTATAAAACAAAATGTCAATGTTTTCTTTATGCTAATATTCGGTACTTTATTGGTTATCAATACAAATTTCATCTTTTATTAGATTGTTTTGTGCCATATACTCCCAATGATTTTGCACAAGGTAATGTCGCCTAAAATTGTAATTGTTACCTCTGTTTTCAGTCTTAAATTAGTGAGTACTATTTATAATTCCTTCTAGTTTGTTGAAAAAGTTTAAACTTTGGAGGTTGTTAATTTCTGTGATAGTTAAAAGCTACTGAACAGTACTCTAGGCACTTGATATGGATTGGTTATGATAAATAGTAGGGGTGTTTAAATCCAATGGCTAATATAGAACGTGACTTTTAAATGCTATATGCATTTACTTTACCATCTTGGTACAGACTTTGAAATTTGAATGTGAGATTATCTTGAGAATTATATTATGAGTTTCTTATTCCTTGGTTTAAGTGTACAGATTAGTGGTGACCAATAAATGATGCGTAATGCCAAGGTTTTAAAAACACGATGGTAATAGAAGTGGTGAAAAAAATAAGGGTGATATCATTTTATTACTCAATTTATGAGTATAACTTTTGGATCTATTTTGACTCTTATTTTGAGTTGTGCAAACTAGCACTCACTAAAAAGTATGATCTAATGTGAAGGTATTCGAAATATTTGGTATTTTTTGCAAAAGCAAAATTAACCATGAAGATTTGAGAATGGCTTCTAGTGCACTACTAGATTACTGCTCATTGAGATAAAATTGAAAAATTGAATATGAGCAAATATATGCCTATATTATTTGGCAAATATAAATGGATGAGAAATTTTCTCACCAAAGATTGGTTCAATATATCTGAACCACTAAGAGAGATTATTTTAAAATAAATTCGGGGATATTATATCTTTGCTATTTTATTGTGTAAAATCTCAAGCTTGAATCAAAGATATGATACATATAATGAGGAATGGGACTTGAAGCTAAAATTTTAAGTTGGAACCATCTATGAGGATACAACTACTTAGGGATTGGAGATCCCAAGAACTAGGTCAGAGACAAACGAATCATAGAATGGTTTGGGTGAAAAGCATGCATATATTATAAAGTTGTTAAATCCCTTCCCATGGTGTAGAGCATGCTCGTGACTCTATGACGAATGAAAGGTTAAGATTTGATATAAATCTTTTAATGAGTTCTATAGCCCTTTATGGGTCGAATACCTTAGTCATAGGCCGCTTCCTATGAGAATTTGGCTAATTCTCTAAAGCACTCATGAATCTGGGATAAAGCATAAGGCTGTAATGTGCTGGCTTAAGAAGCTTGTTAATTAATATCTTGAATATCATGTGTGTGACATAATCTTACATATCTTAAAGTAGTCTTAGTTTCAAAGCTATAGTCCACTTTGACTCTAATATGGAGATTATGGAAACACTAAAGGAAGGTTTCAAGGCAATGCCACATTCATTATGCATAATGTTCTCACTTTGTCCAAATCTTTATTCTTCTCAAATTTTATTAAAATAAGTGGGGGAATGTTAGTGTATTTTAATAAAATCTTAATTTTTTCCTTGACCAAATCTTTACAAGGAGTTATAATAATTTATTTGGAAATTATTTGAATTATAATTGTGGGAGTTTCATTACAAGGAGTTATAATAATTTATTTGGGAGTTATGGGAATTATAATTGTGGGAGTTACAATGCATTTTGAATGGAGTTATTTTACAATTATTTGAATTAGAGTTACAAATGAATTATTTGTTTCAAATGAGGAATTAATTGAGTCTTTATAACCCATTCAAATGTGGATTAATTTTTTAGGTTATAAATTCTACCAATTGACTACAATTTAATATGGAAAAACCGTTACACATTTTTAACCCCTTTTTCTTAAGGTTTTGTAGCCTATAAATAGTGAAATTCTTTGGAGAATTTGGGACACACACTTCTTTCAACAAAAGATCATTCTAAATACTATTTTCCTCACACTCATTTCTTTCTCCTTCATTCTATTTTCTTTGGGCAAAGTAAGATATTGGGAAGCTTCTGCTTCTCTTGGTTGTGCAGATCAAAGGGAAGCAACAACTATAGAGTTGAGTTGTTGTATTCTGGAGGCGGCGCGCTAGACCTTCTGCATCGGTTTAAAAAATACCGTAGGGGCGCGTATCGTCTTAAAGAGAGTGTTCAACGCGCCTCAGCCCTACCGAACTTTTTAGTAGCTGTCAATTCAAGGTGGTCGGATTGAAGATCAGAAGCTGTTCATCTAATAATTTTAAGATCTAGTTCGCGCATCTAACCCATGTCAAAATAACCTTTAATGGTACAAATTATTTGCATTTATTAATGCAATATTGAGGTATGAGATTTTGTGAATTTCTTTGTTAAATTTTTACCAAAAAAATTACTATTACTTATATGATTAATTTGGTCTAGAACCAACAAAACATACACCAGTCGTCAGGTTCACAACCACATCGAGCTCTCACAGACCTAGCCAAGGAACATGGACAGGTCATGCACTTGCAGCGTGGTGAGGTATCTACAGTTGTCATCTCGAGTGCCCAAATGGCCGGAGAGGCCCTGAAAACTCACGATGTTGCTCTAGCAAACCGTCCCAGAATTCTAGCCGCACAAACCATCACCTATAATTCCCAGGACGTTTCATTCTCTCCCTACGGGGGTTACTGGAGACAAATGCGTAAAATATGTGTCCTAGAGCTCCTCAGCCCTCAAAATGTTCGAGCAACGCAGGCCATTCGGGAGGATGAGGTTTGGAAAATGATCGGCTCCATCCAGTCATCCTGATCCAGGTTACTGCCGGTTAACCTCACTGACTTGGTCTTTGCCCTCACCAATGCGGTCACTTGTAGATCGGCTTTCGGCTCCAGATGCACGTACCAAGATCAGTTGCTACAGCTCATAAATGAGATAATAGAGGTGTCCAGTGGTTTTGACATTTCTGATTTGTTCCCCTCAAAGAAATTTCTCCATATCATTAGCGGGACAGTTTTCAAGATCAAAAAGCTTCAGTCCAAGCTCGACCCCATATTTGAAAGCATAATCCAGGAGCACAAAGAGGCAGATTCAGGGGAGGTAGATCTAGTAAACACTCTATTGAAGATCAGTGCAAGAGGAGGCCTTGATTTTCCCTTAACAGCCGAATGCATCAAAGCAGTCTTTGTGGTAAAAAAAATATATATATATATATTAATAAACTGGCCAACTCGCTAATGCTACTATAATAATAATAATAATACTACTAGTATACATGCTACTACTACGTAATTGTTGGTCGTCCATATATATAAACAAACTACTCCATATACAATCGGTATTAGTACCGTATACTATTTGAAATCCGCAGGGTACTTTAAGCGAACGACACTTTTTATCTAGAAAAAACGTTCTGCAATTTGATAACTTGATTGCAAATTACAGGACATGTTCGCAGCAAGAACTGATACGCGGCAGCAACAGTTCTGTGGGTAATGGCAGAGCTGATAAGAAATCCTAGCGTGATGGAAAGGGCACAAGCTGAAGTAAGAAAGGTGGTAAACGGAAAGAGCATGATTTTAAGGGACTGAATTATATGAAGGCGGTGATAAAAGAAACACTGAGGCTGCACCCACCAGTGCCCTTGCTACTTCCCAGAGAATGCAGGGAGCCTGGTGAAACTGGGGGCTATGACGTATCAGTCGGAACGAGAGTCTTGATCAATGGTTGGGCGATCAACAGGGATCCTGAGTTTTGGGAGGATCCTGAAAGTTTTAAGCCGGAGAGATTTCTGGATAATGGAATCGAGTTCGTGGAGTATCTACCATTTGGAGGAGGAAGAAGGATATGCCCTGGAATTGCATTTGGGGTGGCCTGCGTGGATCTTGCTCTGGCTCAACTGGTCTCCCACTTCGACTGGAAACTCCCCGGGGGAGCAAAACCAGAATCCCTCGACATGACTCGAGGACTTCGGTATTGAAGAATAGCTTCTTGTCTTTGGTTGCTATTCCTAGTATTCCATTTGAGTAGAGGCGTAGTTAGATTTTCCGTGTGTATTTGAGGTGCAATCGCAGCAGTAATTCATCGTCTAAATAATATCTCTTATTACGGGATGGGATGGTCACGGGACTAAATAATTACTGCACCAACTTAGAATTACTCCTGTTCACTGATGTATTTGCAATGAAGACATTTTAGTCTTCCATTCTCGCTCGCTGCAATTTCATGTTTGATTGTTTTCGAATTACTGTGTTAGCATTGCTTGCAAACACACAGACACGCTCGACTTTGGAGTTTGTTTGGCTGGCTGGCTTGCCACCGTAGTCTATTTAGCAACCACACGCACCCCCACCCGTCCTAATCGAATCACTAAATTCCATTTATTGATAATGAGGCTTGTCTCTTTTGGAAATGGTTCAGTACTGCAAACAATTTTAAGGGATAGTTTCACAAACCTCCCCTAGTATTTTTCATAATATCACTTAGCATCTCTAAACTTTTAGAAATATCACTCACCTTCCCAGTTACTCAAAAGTCAAAATCAACAAGGTACCAATTGACACTTTTCCCCTTAGTTTAGGCTTATTTTGGAAATATTTTTCAAATTTTTTTTTTTAAAAAAGAAGCTTGGCATATTTGTTTCATACTTTTCAAAAAAAAAAAAAAATAAATTAGGAACCTGTATGTTTAAAAGTGCAATATCATTATTGTTTTTTTTGCGTGAATCTACCTACCATATGGTTGTTCAAACTATTCACTTTAATTGTTTCATTGTTTTTCATATTACTGGAATGAGTCTACATTTTCCATAGTAGAAACTCTGATTTTTAATTATTTTTTGTTTGCCTAAAGAAACTTTTTGTTATAATCTTGCAATTAAAGCCGCAATTTCATTCCTGAAAATTGGAAGATATTAGTGAATTGTATGACTTCACTCTTAAACTTAAACAGGACACACTTATGCTTTCCAATGCTTATTATTGTATTTCAAAATTTGCTCATCAATGTTTCAATCTTTCTTTCACTTCCAACTTCTAATGTATGTAGTTTTAATGGTATAAATAAGTGCTTCTATTGCAACATGTGCTTGATAGCTGTTACTGCTGAATTTTGTTGCATCACACTGCGCAATTTTTTTAGTACTATTAAAGCCTCTATTCATCCTAATATGAATTTTGGTAGTGAATTAGCTAGTAAAAGAGAAAAAAAGTGAAATTTCGGAATGAAAATTGTTCATTCTACTTAATTGATTTTTTTAACCTTACTTTGTCTCATAAGGACTAAAATAGGAAGCTGAGTTTTTCTAGGAGTTTAGAGGTGTTAAATGATATTGATAAAAAAAAAAAAAAAAATCTCATGGAAAGTTTCCAATATTACCCATAATTTTAAAGTATCAACAATTGATCCGCTTACCTTTTAAATGTGCTTATTTGGTGGCCATAGGCACACAAATAGAAGAAAGTTCCGATATCTTTTTTCAAAAATTATTTAGCTTGCATTACAAACCTATTTTTCGATCATTCATTCATCTTCTCAACTATTTTTATATCTCACATATATCGCACTATAAAATGAAAAAGTATTATCATAATTATTCTAAAATAATATTTTATCCAAACATGCTCTCAGCTAATATTTGGATAGCAAAATATCACAAATACAATTTTTAATTAACTTTTTATCTTTATAATCATCTTTTCATTTCCCATTTCACATGTAGTATCACGTTATAAAAAGTGTCACCAACAGTGATTACTTCAAATAATCATCTATCTAAATTACTTCATTTTTGGGATTCTTGAATTCGGTACCATACTAAGAATAATGTTTTTTTTTTTTTGGGTGAGAGGGAGGGAAAAGGGGTTGGTGTCGCTAAGTTTAAAATGCAGCCCTCAAAACCAAAAAGTAGAATTAAAAAGCAGCAGAAAAGACCAAATACGACAAATACCTACCACCATGAATTATGTAAGGAGGGTAGCAGGAGCGCATGCCCGCTGAAAATTTGAATTTCATACAGACAGACAGCGCCAAAGCGGCAAAGCCTCGGCCGTCGCCAACCCATCCCCCGTTCCCATCTCAGAAAAGGCAGGAAAGAAAGAAGAGAAGGATCCTTTCCTCGGAAAACCAAAAAAAAAACAGATTCCATTCAAAAACATTACACACACTCGGTCACTCACTCCACACACACACACACACAGACAATCAAACCCCCAACAATGGGTTCATTGAAGCAGCAGCCATCCTCCCGCTACAACACTCCCTCCTCTTCCTTCCTTTCCTCCTCCTCCAGCCCCAGATCCTCCGCTAAATCCGACCCCTCTTCCTCCACTGACACCCTGTTCCTCGCTAGTAAGCATACTCCACCTTCCTCCTCACGGGCCCTCGTCAAGACCAAGAATGCCCGCGCCACCCACCACCACCACCACAACTTCACCTCTATGGTCAAGAAATTTATGGAAACAAAATCCTCCCACTCTTCTTCTTCCTCCAGAAAATTATCCCGCAAGGCTTCTGCTACCAACGAACCTCTCAAGCTGACAATTGCTGCGGAATTCCTAGCTGAGGATCTCAAAAAAAACCCCGCATCCGCCAAAAAGGCAACCCCTCTCTCTGCTCTCCAGAACAAGTTGTTCAAAGGGGGGAAGAGGAATAACGAGGAGAGCAAGATCTTGAACGAGAGGAAGGCCTTGACTGAGGTCAAAGGGAATACCAGAACTCTTGCCATGGTTTTGAGGAGTGAAAGGGAGCTCTTGAGTTTGAACAAAGACCAGGAAAATCAGATTTCTGAGCTTAAGCTCATGCTCGAGGACAAAAACAGAGAGGTATAACGGCAATCATTAATCTCTCTCTCCCTCTCTCTCTCTCTCTCTCTCTCAACTAGTACTAACTCCTTCGGATGATTTTCTATGTCTAGAGTCTGTGCACACAGTGGGAATTTTTGAATTAAAAAAATGTGATCTTTGCGGCAAATGGCTGAACTTTAGTTTGGTAAAGTTCTTAATACTGTTGGGTTGTGGTTAAATGCTACTCTGTTATGTGTTTCAGAACGAATGCCAGCCTTGTATGCTGTATCGTGAGTTTCACATGAAGTGGGAAACTTTTAGTAGTAGTATCAAGGAGTTTTGTCATCACTGCAAATTCTGAAGGTTCGGATAAACAAATGGGATTAAGATATGGGCTCTCCTGAAAAGTTAGAAATTGTCATTCATGAAATGATTATTGGATAAGTCAATCATAAAAGTAAAGACTTTCTACAGTTATTTTCATCAAACTGTTGGTACTTTATACCAAAAATTCGATCTTGCCTTTCTGAATTGACTATTGTAGATTAATACAGTTCTAGATTGGGACCCGACAACCACAGGCTATTCTTTTGTATTGATTTTGTTTCATATTGGGTGGTGGTGGTGGGGTGTTTAAACATTTTCAAGCTTTATTTCTTGACAGCTGAGTTCAAAATTGAGGATTTACGGGTGACCCATATCTGGGCATTTGTTACTAATGGCTAATTTTATAGGTTGAAAAGCTGAAGGATTTGTGCTTGAAGCAAAGGGAAGAGATAAAGTCCCTGAAAAGTGCGATTCTGTTTCCAGATGTGATGAACTCACAACTGCAGGAGCTCCTGGCTAAACAAGGTTCAGAACTAAAGGAGGCGAAACAACTTATCCCTGGTTTGCAGAGGCAGGTCACCTCTCTTACAGGGCAATTACAATGCCTTGCTGAGGGTCTCGCAGAGGTAAGACTCATATTCTTGTATGATTCAGGTTAGGCTGATGCTGCAGTATTGCTAATTTTACACAGCAATGTTTATGTGCCACGCGCAAAATGTAGAAAATAAGTGGGAAGAATTGTAATCTTATGAAAAGGAAAAGGTGCTTTGCTTTGGGATGAAAGTTCATATTACCAATATGGGAGGAAACTTTACAACTGTGCTTGTCTAAATGGAAAGAATTGCTTTGGGAAGCAACCTAAACTGCATATGTCCGGTAATCTAAGATTTACGACTATATGGTAGTTAATGATTATAAGTAACTAAATGACCTATCCAGATAAAGCCAACCCATATATTCAGTATGTTTCAGGATTTACTTTAGTTCTCATCCTTATGGGTGGTCCTTGCTAGTGTTATATTCTGGGTTTTGAGTGCTGCACTTGGCTTTATGAGTGTTAATTTAACACTCACTTGGTGATATGCACAGGTCAAGGCAGACAAGTGCTCAGTGAGGGGCTGCTTTGATAATCATAGCTCTCCAAGGACTCCAACATATGAGCATGAAGAGGCAACTAATTCCCTGGTTAGAACATCATTCCAAACAGATATATATATATACACATACATACATACATATATGAAACCAAGATTGATGATTGTGTTGACCAATTATCAGTTAACCAGTATACTTGTGCATCATCATTTGAGTGATCTATAAAATCTGATGGTAGTTCATTGCATGTTAATTTGTCTTGAGAGAGTTTAAAGTAATTCTATCTTGAGTCATGAAAGCAGAATATCTTGCACTATATGGTAAAGAGGATGTAGGGGGGATGTATATCACACTCTGAGCGCTGATGGTAGTAACATGCAACACTGTATCATTACATTCATTTTTCTTTCTTTTTATTCAACTGTACTACTGAAGTAGTTATGCCATCAATCTGCAATATGATCAGAAGTTCATTGCATTCATTTTTCCTTCTGTTTATTCAACTGTACTGCTGAAGTAGTTTTGCTATCTATCTCCAATATGATCGAGAGTTCAGCTTGTTCAACTTTGTAAAGGATTGTTCACACTTCAAATTCAGGATGTCTATTTTGAGTTATCTTTAACTTCTACCTATTCATGAAGCAGTTACTTTATATATTCTGCAATATGATCAGGAGTTCAGTTCTGGTGATCATACAGCACCCGGCAGTCCAGATGACATGTTTCTCAAAGATCTGAATCCCTGCCTAACTCCCTACTACAAAACAAAGTCCATGGTAAGTACATTAGCAGATATTAAAATCTTCTGGCACTTGTTGTATCTGGTATTAGCACATATATCCCTTCGGAGTGAGTAAAACATGTTATACTATCTGAACAAATAAGTATACTTTCTACAGGAGTTTGAGAAGCTTGACTTCCCAGATGATGAAGGTTTGTTTAGAAAGAATTTGAAAATTGGCCATGAGTTTGGCTTCAATTCTTGCACACAAAAATTATCAAAGAGTTCAGACTGTTGCCAATGTTCAAAGACATCAAGCACTTCTGTCCCTGCAGCACGTAGATCTGATGAAAGCAAGCGTAACTGTGGCAAGCAGATGCATCATAAACTTTTCTGAAGCATGAAAGATTCTGCTCATCTTAGACACCACCATCATCCTTCCGATGCTGCCAATGAGTTCTATCTTGTCAGAGTTCAGATTCTTGCCTTAAAGACAGGAAGCAGTTCGCTTCATGCACATGGGAACTGATGAAAGGAAGTGCAACCATGGGAAATGGATGCATCATACACTTTTTGAAGCATGAATAATACTTCACCATTTTACATTTTATCATTGTCCTTCCAGCAATGCCAATGTGTTGTTTATCTTTATGTTCTTAGATGTGCTGGCACTAGTTTATCCTATTTGAGTAACAGATTTATTTCTTCAAACTTATAAAGTCAAATATGCTCATAAATTCTAAAATTGCAAGCTTGCTTTATGTCTGCAAACAAAAAGTGACCTATATTACCAAAAATTTTCGTAATCTGAAGGTACTTTACTTAGTAGGTATCTGAACCTTCAACTACACCCCCTCCCGCACCCCAACAATAAAAAAAAGAAAATAAAGTTCAAGTATGATGTTACCTCGACGGTACTAAAGATAGAAATGAGCTCATCATCAGCTTAAAATGTGGGTTCTGGGAACAGTAATGATTTTGATATCATTCCTGCAGCTGGAAGCTCACTTGGCAAATTTTCTCTTAAAAATGTTTGTGTTGACCCTCCGTTTCACGGATATGCATCTCGAATTCCAGTTTAAGTTATGGATGATTGGTGGAGGACATGAATTTAGAAGAAAGACATCATAGGCAAGTTTTAGGTTGAGGTTGTGATTGCTTGCTTTTTCCCGTTTTGTCATTAGTCATGGAAATTCTGTCCTAAGTTGGAATTAAAGAATATAATTAACTGAAAGCAAGAATAATTACTTCCCAGGTGATTTAGAATGGCCAAAAGAGATCCTCAAGCCAAGGTGCAAGTGAAGATCTATGATCTTAGAAGGAACAACCAAAAAATAATTGTACTACAAATCGCCACCTTTTATTTGAATTTGGACGTAATTAGTTCTTTAGTTTTCAACAATTTGCATTCTTTTCATTTGGTACATATTGACATGAGCTATAGGCAGCAGTTCTTGATAAATCGTCTTTAGTTCCTCAAGGTGCTTCACCTTTAAGCGCCATCCTGACAACCTGAAAAATAACTGCCAAGAAAAAGAAAATGTTTAAACAAAATAACTGCTGGACAGAATGCATATCAGACTAGAAAAAGCAAACACAACTGCAGAAAACTCATTAGCTTTTCAATTTGGGAAGTGTTGGCAGAAAGTTTTAGATTAGAACTAGCAAAATGCCAAAAAACTGCGGCAAAAATAAAGCGAGATCTGAATCTTCAGTATCTCCTAAGTAACTACTGAAGCAGCCACTATCAAAACAAAGACATGACACTTGACAGGAGAGACACTGGAGTTGAGAGGAAAAGGACTAACAAGTTCATGCGAAGTCAGGAGCCAGATCCACAGTGGCAAAAGAAAAAGAGAAGCAACTCACGTTAAGAGCAGCATAAGTAAGTTGCAAATTAAGTTGAGATTAATCAACATAGAATATCGTCCAACAACCCCTTCACCCACCCCAATAACCACAAGAAAGCAATTGATTAGAATGAAAACTTAGGCAAGCGCATGTCATGACATCTTCATTCGTAAAAGAGAAGTATATTAAGGATAACGCCAATGATCAGCAAAAACCCAATCAAGGATATTGCCTTGCCATGTTTTTTCCAGCATGCTAGATTCAATGCCAAGAAACTTTTTAGGTATTATATCCGGCTCCCTGTTAATTGGCTTTTAAATTCCAATAAACTGTATGACATGTGGTATATTTTTCAGCATGCTAGTTGTGATGGATTAGGAATGGTAATATTAAGTATTAAACGACTCTAAGAGCATGTAACTATCAGACCATACCACACATCAAAATGTAGCATTATTGCTGCATAGGCCGACAAGCATCAATTTAAGGGGAAATATGCGTAGATATACACATGTCAAAAGGATCACTACGCTACATAGTAAACAAGCCGAAGACGAGGGAAGTCAATTACATGATCCAACGACCAAAACAGCAAAGAGCAAGAGGACAATGTGTGCAGGTTCAAATGCTTTCTTGCTGGAAAAAGTGAGTCCTCTACGGGTTATGTTCTTCTCAAACTTTGCGATCTTCCGCTCAGACAGGCGTTTGGATGTTGTCTGCAAGAAATCCATCGAACCGTTATTTTTTGGCATGTTTACGAGCAAAACAATTCAAGCCAGGCCCTTTTAGCCCATTTTCTCACTTGCATGCATTGATGGCCAATGGAACTAATAGACAAAATCCCAGTCAACGAGCGGTGAGCCTGGTTAATGATCTAATTAATGTTCACTGATTCTATATCTTCACCTTCCTGATAAACCAAAACACGAACAAATATAATGTTGAGGAAAAAAAAAGCGAGAAATCCAGATGAGGAATATAATTATTGGAGGCTGGTGAGACCGCAACTAATGTTTTGAAAAAAAAAATGATAGGCTAAACGCCCTGGATTCTGGGGAAGCCATCCCCAGAGAGAGCTGTATCTATGTGCGTAAAACCTCATTTGCTTAAGTCGCCTACTAAAGGAAAGATGGTACTCATTGAAGAAGAAAAAAAAAGATTTGGGGAAAAGGATCGTGCTCAGCCAATTGATAAAATGAAAAAGTTTAACGAGGGTGGCTGGCTAATGATTCATGAAAAATGGTTGCCTGCATGATATGCAATTAAAAAGAAAAAGTTATGCACCAAAAAACAAATTGGAGAACATAGGGACAAAGTTGATACATGTATAGACAGGGACAAGGGGAGAAGCGTTACCATGTTGTGGGGTTTTGAAGCTGCTTCTGCTACTGCTCTAGTGGTTGACGGTGCAGGAGGAGGAGGAGGAGGAAGTAACGTATGTCTTCTTGTTGGGATTTGGATAATGAGGCAGGCAGACAAGACAAGAAGGGAAACGAAACGAAAAGGTTGAATCACAAAGAAATCCCGATAAAGTTTGATGTATTTCGCAGTTTACCATCTAACATTTTATTTTTTTCACTTTTTCCCCCCCATCAGTCTACATCAACAAATGGACCTTTAAACATTATAGTTGAAGAAAATACCCCTATTTTAATCATTAAAATTTCTGATAAAAATGGCCCTCTTAATGTTGTATGAAGAGACAACCCCAAAAGTTCTCTAGTACGTTTTGAGCATTATCACATCAAGCAAATTTCTCCCCTTCATACGCAACATTTGCAGCTAAAATAGAAAAAAAAAAGTTCTAAGTTTCTTCAAATTCGTTTCCTGACTGTTCCTTTAGATGTTGTTTACTACACCATGTGAAAGAACCAATTCAAAAAACCTACGAACGTGGCAAAATAACATTCTTCAGAAGATTTTGTACATCAAAAAATTTCGAAAGGAGATTTATTAGATATCCAAATTATAAGGTTTAATTTTTACAATAGATTAATTATAGTTTTACACTTTTTAGAAAAATAATTTGAAATGCGAAAATCCTTTTATCTGGAATCGTCATGCATGGGATTATTTCATGGATAAACCCAAAACTTTGTGATAAAGGAAGAAAAATATGTACTATATTTGACCTGACCCTATGGGTATTTATGTCTATCCATAATTTTTTTAGGGATACCATTGTCTTTTTGATATCAACAATTAGTACCATTATTAAATGTTTGTTCTGACCACAAGTCAAGGGGATAAAGTGAAAAGATAAAACTTTAGTGGATAAACCGTAAAACATACCAAACCTTGAGGGGACTTCTTGTAATTAACCCGAAACGAAACGGAAAGAAACAGCCGTGAAACCCCTACTCCCCCTTTGGCCCTTTTTTTTTTTTGGGACAGTTTTGTATTCTAAGTTGTTGTTCAAGAATGAGTGTGTGTGTGTGTGTACACTGTACATACGCATATCCTTCTAGGTAATGACGCACAAATTAAGGTAAGACTGCCCCACACTAGCACTTGCCATATATTGAACCCCGACCCCACTAAGTATTCCAGTTTCTATGCTAACATATGCTAAGACTCCTAAGCTTGACGTTTTAGGTCAACCTATTTTTCTTCCACAGACCCCGCCCCCACCCCACAAAAAACTCATGAAAAAAAAAAAAGAGAAAAAAGGCGTTTCTTACAATTGAGTATGAATACTATTTACAATTCAGTTATAAACTTAATTTGACAAAGAAACTATGCAGGAGTAGTGAAGATTCAAATGCTTTGCTGATTCTGCTTTTCCAATGTACTTGTTAAACTTTGCCTAATCTATTGCTGTTATGGAAGAATTAAGGAATCTGTAATTCTGTTTGACTACAAACAAACAGACAAAGTAAGGCTAGCCAGTATACAATTTGCTTAATACGACAGAAAAACCTTTCAAGTCCTCCGTAAAACTCACACAAGGATCAGTGTGATAGTACACCTGTATGTAAAGCTGTCAATTTTTCATATACATATATATATATATATATATATATATATATATATATATGGATTAATTTTTTCTACACTGACAGTGTACACATTATCAACATTGGATGAATGATAATTATACAAAATTTAAATTTGAAATTCAATTTTTGCACGCATGTCATGAATCAAACGGTGATAATGTATACACTGTCAATGTATATAAGATTTACTATATATAAATTTGGCCAAACTACACAAACACGTAAATGACCTTCAAATCTTTAGATAATTAATTGAAAAACGGCTTTTCTTGTTCTATTGGTTGCATAGAAGTGCCAATATCGGATGGCTTTGAATTTGACACTTGAGATTAGAAAATTTGTCGTGCATTGTTCAAGCTACTGGCATAACAAATTGACTTCACTTGATCGCTAGTTTGTGCTCTATAGTTTGAGAGGGCAATATCAGAAACCTCTTCTTCTGAGATTTCTCTTAATATTTACTTCTGAGATTTTAAAAATATTATTTACCGTCCTTAATTTTGCTATTTATATGACAAAATCTTGAAAAAACTCTAAACTACATTTTTGCTCTTTTAAATGCTACAACCACATCACAAAAGCTATAGCTTCTAAAAATATAAGTTAAAAATGGTACTTATAAAGAAGTGCATTAACACCAGTTCGGCTTTACGCGATCAAAACCAATTCTTTATGGATCCTACTTTTATCCAACCTCTTCTCAATGGTTTGTTGGGGACACGTGGAGGTCAACTTACTATGCATAAATAGTTGAATAGGCCATATTTTCGTCTTTCGATGCTCTCACTTTGGCTCGAGAAAGAAGTTTGATCTATTTTGCCGAGAAGGTCTACGGTTCGAGTCCGTATAGCCCTATAATTTAATTGTGATAAAAAATGAAAGAGTTCTAGCTGTCAGATACAGATACACATTCTGCGTTCAGGATGACCACCATACAGTAGGTTATGGAGATGATCATAAATGTAAAAGATCGAAAGTAACCTTGCCAACGAATGGCCCTTTGAAAATCTTGCATGAATTGCTCCTACCAATGCTGCTGGGCCTTTTTATAGTTTGCCACTCGGTTTGGGTTTCACGTCCCGGGGCAAATACCATTTGGAACCCGCAGGAAAGACAGCGTCCTACGACCCGATGGTTCGACGGGGTTGGACATCACAATACGCAGTAATTTACATTGAACGAACGAAAGCGATTTCATATCCGTTCTCAATCAAGAGCTCGCTCGACCGCTGGTCCAGACGTCAAACTGGGTACCCGTATTGACGTTTGGTTGTTGAGGGCATTCAGGCCATTAACTCGAGCATACATGAATTGTAGAGGATAATTTTTTTTTTTTTTTGAAAAAAAAAAAAGAAAGAAAGAAAGTAACTCTGTTTCCCATTTCCACTGTATTAAGCTAATTGAAAATGCAATTCCGGTGAAAAGCCGATCAACACGTGGCACCAGTAAAATATTAAGAAGAAAAAGCCGATCAACCAGGTTGTATTGATTGAATAATACATATACTTTTCAATTGTAAAAACAACAATGTACAAGTTATGTACATGTATGAACTAAGACTGCATCAAATGATCCGTTCTTCCTACCAAAATTGGCCTCAAAAATGTGGTCTGGCGACCGAGAGGAGACGAACATCAACGAAAAAACAGCAATACAAAGAAACTACAAAATGTGCCTGAAGAGTAGTAGTTCACCAGCATTGTAGTTCTGAATGATCATCAGACAATCGTCGCATCTGTTGGCTGAGGCAGGCACAATGCAGCTTACCAGTTCTGCAACTGAGAAGTTATGCTTTTCACTATAGGATGGTACTCTGTGTGCATGTGTTTCTTTGCTTTCTCTGAACCAGGTTCATCAAGCCATTCAGCATATAATCCTTTGATGATCGGATTTTCAAGAGGATCAGCCTCAGTAACCTCACAAAGAAACAATTGTCAGTTCCTTGAACCCTCAAAGAACAAGAGGAACAAAAAGCATAAAAATTTCCATTTTCTATCCACGGCTGCACGTAATACTCAACATGCTAATACAACATACCTTCTGCATTAATAATGTATAAAGTATTGCATAAGTAACAGTTTAACAAGGTAGATGGCCAACATAAATAGGGAAATGAGGGAGCTCTCTGCAAACCACAGGCAGGTAGAAGACAGAGAAGACACAGAGGAATAATACATATGACGCTACAAGCAGGGAAGGTCCATTAATAAGCCGTGTAGAAAGTTGAATTCATTTTTTGTTCTCATCCACCAAGCTCAAGCAGAGAGCACACGGTTCTCTAAGCATCCTATGGAGATAAATTTCTTTCTCTTGATTGTTATATGGGGAATGGACTTCCAAGACAAAACAGAATTGAAGAGAGACAAAAATCAGTGCGCGTAAAGTCTGAAGCCCAGACTCACATTTTCCATGTACTTCAATTCCAATGACTGGATCAAATCCTTTGCAGATTCACCAGCCTTTGGTTTGATTTGACCTCCACCATTTAAGCATCCTGTTAGTAGCAAAGACACAATATGAGACAAGTGCTTTAATATGCTATAGGGCATATCAATTAACATGCCTGCAAACAGGCAGCTTAAGAACACATCCACCTGAGGGACAAGCCATGATCTCCAAAAACTGATATTCACATTTTCCAGCTTTGATTTTCCTAACAACATTTTGCAGGTTACGGAAACCGTAACAGAGAGCAAACTTCAAGACAGTCTCTCCATCTACCTGCATTTACATGAGCAATGATTACAACTTAATGTAGACCATGTTTTGGAACTTGCAAAGCAATATAATCTCCAGATGAGTAATCATAATTAGTAACTTATTGATAGTATAAACTACAATTTGAAGCAGACATCATGCAATTCAATGCCAACTACGTCCAAGGCCAACCAAAACCAGCTACATGAATATGCGTAATCATGGAAGAACTTCTAAGTATCTAGACACAATTGGGTACTAACTCAACAAGAGATGCGGTTCACAAGAAATGTTCATCTATCTAAAGAGGTGTCGATCAATTAGCTCCTGATAGGATAGTGAGACTCCAGATGCCTATGCAAGTGCTACAAGTCTACTAGATATTAAAATATCAGAAAGGACGCAGTCTTCCTATTTCTTGGTGAGAGCAAACATGATAAAAAAGGAAGGACGTACTTCAAGTGTCACTTCCTTGAAGTCAGAATTCCTTATAGTCTTGAAGTTGAGAGGACCAACAATTTCCTTGCCAAAAAGAGTTTTAGCAGCGTAACGAAATATTATCTCTGCATATCCTCCAGAGCTTCCATGGACGCCATAAAGGTGGCCGCCTTCAGCAGCATTCGCTAATCTGTAGGAACAAAAAGCTAGTATTGTTAATGACTGCTCTTGCAGAGCAAAACAACTCGATAACAGTGACAAGTGTTCTTACAATTTGTCCAAAGGAGACTCTTCTAAGCTTGCAAAATCAACTGAC